ATTATTTTTATTTTATTTAAGGTGTGGATTGTTCACACAAAGAAGGCACTGTCTTGTTGACAAGTGACATAACCTAAATCGCTCAAAACTAGATTTGGCATTATTGCATAGTAATTACGTCACAGAAAATGATGACGTGCAACGGAAGTTATACGGAATAAAGTGTACTTATATACAACTCTGTGGTTTCGTTTATCATAAAAGATTGTGAAGTTGCAGATTATGCAAATGATACCGCTATAATTCAATATGCCGCTATTTCCAGTATAAATTTTATACTGTTTACAAGTCCAACACCGTCTACTAACCTTGGTCATTGTTTTGTTATTTGCGACATTTTCAAACTACATGCGATATTAGATCACTCACTAGTAAGCGGGGGACACTTTGTAACCCGAAGACCCGATCTTCAAATGAGTACCTATAACTTTTGTTTGAATAGTTATATTTGTATACTTAGGCCGCGAAGTCATTCTTTAACGTACCGAAAAGAAGATTGGCAGAATCGTCAATAAATAAAAATGAGATTTCAAAAATAATAATTTTCGTCGCAAATAGAAAGACGGCCAGTTTTCATTTTACCATGGAAATGAGATAAACAATGAATAACTTTTCGTGAAAAAAAAGTCAAAATGTGTGACTCCGAAAGTGATTCTTTGATATCCGGAACTCCTCCGGAAATAAAACTTGTTGCGAATTCTGCTGTATTGCACTTATGAGTTAGTACCTGAAAAATCGAAGCGGCAGTACGAAAAATGTTACAAGGACTTCAAGTGTACCTGTCAGTTTGTTCTAAGGAAAATCAAAATGTTACAGTTTCAAAGTATAACGCTTCTAACACTTTAGACTTTATTTCAGGAGTATATAGGTAAGTAACAATACGAACTGTACGCTTAATATTAACTTTATTTTGCTGTAATATCTTATTTTAAAGTTATAGTTGTAGTTGAGGTATACGAACAGTTATAACAGGTTTTAAAAACACCAAATTTAATTAAGCACACAAAATATCATATTGTCTCTACGTTTAAGGCCCACACCATCTCGGCCTTGTATTTTTACTTCTTATTTGTTATACCTGCACCATAATGCTTCGAATTCTTCGTCTTCAGTCTTCAGTCGTCCGTCTTCAGTCTTCTATCGATACCCCTCAAATTTCTTTTCCATTTGATCCCTTCTACCCTCCTCTCTATCCTTATTTTCCCCATATTGAGCCACTGGTCTACTCACAGAGTCTGTCGAACAACCGCTGGACAACTTCAGGAGCCAGGAACAATAGCTAAGCATAACCTCCAACCTTTATTCATTTATGATTGCCCGTTAAGTTTATTTTAAAAAAAAAACCATTACATTAATTCAGTCATCTTTGCCATCCGTTTAACTAACTTTTAGTCAAATTTTGTGTCTTACTGCGAGACGAGATCTCGTTCCGTGATTTTATTGCTTAATTCTCTGTTACTGTTCCACGGCCATTTCTCATTCACCATCATTCGCCGTACAATAAATAATATACCTATTTTGCTACTTTCCTCTATTTTCTCCTCGT